TGAATACTAAGTGAATACTATACTATAGCAGAAGAAAGGGGGAAGGACTTCTAAACATCTCAAGTGTCCCCGGCAGGGTACCCTGTGTGTGTGCCCATGACTCTGTAGATTTCCTGATGTTCCCATAAAGCCACTATTTCAGAACCCTGATCATTTCCAATTTATTTCAATGAAGACAATTGAGAAGGACCATCTGTTTCTACAGAAAGGGCAGGTGGGGGCTGTAGCTCTGATGCACTCCATAGTCTTGGGGTGGGGGTGCACTTTCAATATGGCCATGACTGACTGCAGGACTTCTGATGCTTCATACAGCTCATTATCCAGTCTTCCTCAGCCTTCTCAATGGCCAACTGAAAGGGCTGTACTTGTTTTGTTTAACCATTTGGGAATGGCCCCTAAAGAACACTATGTAAATAACCAGTTTCCTTGCTCTAATGTGTTCCGATGGCTACTTGAAAATCATGTATTCCTGTGGCCATGGAGAAATAGCCAATTCATTTCATGGGCCATTCTGTGTAATTAGTTTCAGTATCCCCCGCTGCCTATGGTACAAGCACAGTCTGTGGAAGGATGCAGAAACAGAGTTCATCAAGAAAAGAGGTAAACCAGATTTAAAAAGCACAGACCACAGATAAGTCTTCAACAGGGGAATCTGTCAGACAGACAAAGTGTATGTCAGCGGCATTGTTCCCTCTAAGCTGAGTTACTGTGAGCTAGCTCACAGTTTTTTAGCCTCCGGCTCACACTTTTTTGTCTTAGCTCAGGAGGAATGGCTCCAGAGCAAACTAATTTATGCTGTAGCCACATCGCTCGCTCACAACTTTAATGCCAGTAGCACACAAAGTAGAATTTTTGCTCACAAGACTGCATAGCTTAGAGGGAACATTGGTCAGCGGTCCCTAGCATGGTGCCTCTTGGCACCATGGCACCTTCCAGCACCTTTCGTGGCAGCCATCAAGTGTTTTTAGAAAGTGGGTAGGGCCAGGTGGGGCTTTTGCCCAGCAAGGCTTCTTGATTGGCCATTGGTGATCTGATTGCCTGAGGAGATTTAAAAAATGTTTCATCAGCAGCTGAGAACATAGCAAAAGGGTCTTCATTGTGGGACTGAAGGCAAGCTGTGGCGGCCCATTTGTGGCTGGCTCCGCATTCTGTGGCAGCCCACCACCCTGGGATTCCAGAGGTGCCCATAAGATTAGAATAGTTGGGGACCCCTGCTGTAAGTTGATTTAATGTATTTTTTAAAAATAAGATGTACAGTTATTTATTGGGAAAATATTGATTTTATTGAAATGTTAGCAATAAAAAAGCATATAAAAAACTTAACATCTCCCACTTATTCACTCCCATTCAGCCTGTTTGCCCTATCTACACTACCATGTTATAGTGATTTTGTGCCACCTTACCTGTCAATGATTTCTGCAAGGGATTTTGGAAAATGTAGTTTTGTGAGGTGCTGAAAATTCTCTTAGGGTTCCCTTGCCCTCTTATCACAAACCTGCAGATTGAAAGGTTCCGTATAAGGCAGAATGACTATGTTTAAATCTGTGGTGTGGGTATGCCCATAGCCAGAGAGCTGTTTGATCCCCTCATCCCTGCATGAACAGCTGTTATTCCATGTTATCCCCCCAGATGCTCTTTCCCTTTGGTCTGTGTTAATTCAAATGGTTGCTGAGGGAACTATTGGGGGGGGATTAAAGAGCGCCTTTCTTGTGCCTTGTTTGAAGAGAGAATGTCTGAGGTACATAAATGGAGGAAATCCTAGGAACTGTGTGTCATGGCAAGACAAACAGTTGCTGGAGCCAGGGTTGGACTTCCAGGTTACCAGTTCTAAGCGCACAGAATCTTTTTCAGGCTATGTCGAGTTACCAATTGCAACAGGATGCTAGCATCCTCAGTTTTACAAAGAAGGATTCGATAAACCTCTGGTAGCTAAAAGTTGACGTATATTAAAAGTCCCTTTTTGTTTTCATGGCATCACTACTGTTTGATGCCCGAACCTGAGAGTGCTTGGTGGAGGATGACTTCTCCCCGTTATTCATCTGTTGTTTGATATTCTTCTCTAAGGCATCTATTATTAGCCATTCTGGAAATAGAGTACTAGGCTAGACAGACTATTGATCTTACCAAGTCAAGCAGTGCTTGCGAATGACTGGTGAAAATATCAGGGATGGCTGAGTAAAACCTTAGGCTTCAGTGCATCCTCTTAATCCTCATCTTGTTGTTTCCTTTGTACTCTGAAGTGTTAAACTTCTCAATGACAGCCTGTTTTCAGGCCAACAAGGCCTTGGCAATCACCTCTAGACCTTCCCTTTTCTGATTAACTCAGTCATGTTAACTAAGACTATCAGTGACCTCTGGCCTCTGCCTCTTAGTGCTGTCATGAAGGAAAGATTTCAGACCAGCATTGCTGCAAGGGTCACTGTGTAGCAAATGGGACTGAGATTACAGACATGGTTGCTGACATAAATAGCATGTTGCCAAGGACGGACTTATTTGATGATGATGATGATGATGATGATGCAAAGCCACGCAACAATGTAACTGATACCAAGGTGGAGTCTGTGACCCTAGATGTTGGGTGAAAATTATTCTTCACCAATTATTTGTAACCTTATGCACTAAGGTTCTATAAAAGGGTTTGGATCCTTTCCAATTCCCTTTCATGGATTTGTCGGCCTTCTGGACCCAAGGCTGTACTAGTAAATGCTAATAGGAAGATTGGTGCTAATGCCTTTACTTCATCAGTACAAATGACAACTGGCTGCCTCAACTATCAAACAAGATTGAAAAATAATTCCTAAGCATCAGATAACAGTTCTTAGGAACCAATTCTGTTGAATATTCCACACACATGCATCAGATCTTTGGTTGTTTGGCAATCAGGAGCTTGGGTCTGTTGATAAACATCAATTCAGATCTATTTTAGCTCAGTGTTGAAGAAGAGTTGGTTTTATCCCCTGCCCTTCACTACCTGAAGGAGTCTTCAAGTGGCTTACAATCTTCTTCCCTTCCTGTCCTACCCCTGTGTAGGTGGGACTGAGAGCTCTGAGAGAGCTCTGACTGACCCAAGGTCACCCAGCTGGCTTCAGGTAGAGGAGTGGGGAATCAAACTGGTTCTCCAGATTAGAGTCCACCGCTCTTAACCACTAAACCAAACTGGCTCTGCAAATCTCTGCTGGCCTGTTAATGGAGGATGAAAGTGTGTGTATGTCCCTTCCTTGTTTGGCAGGAAGTGACATACCCTAGGAGTAACAGAAGTGTTCTGGGAATGGAATGACAGGCTCTGGAGTGGAATGACAGCCCCTGGGGGTAGCAGGAGTGTTCTGGTACTGAAGGATGATAGGGAAATGGCTGAGAAGCTAAATGCATTTTTTGCCTCTGTCTTCACTGTGGAAGATGAGAAGTGCTTGTCCACTCCAGAACCGCTGATTTCGGGAGCGGTGTTGAAAGACCTGAGTCAGATTGAGGTGACGAGAGAGGAGGTCCTAAAACTGATAGACAACTTAAAAACTGATAAATTGCCAGGCCCAGATAGCATACATCCGAGAGTTCTGAAAGAACTCAAATGTGAACTTGTGGATCTCCTGACAAAAATATGTAATCTTTCCTTAAAATCTGCCTCCATTCCTGAGGACTGGAAGGTAGCTAATGTCACGCCCATCTTTAAAAAGGGTTCCAGAGGAGATCCGGGAAATTACAGGCCAGTTAGTCTGATGTCGATACCAGGTAAATTGGTAAAAACCATTATTAAGGAAAGAATTAGTAGGCACATAGATGAACAAAACCTATTGAGGCAGACTCAGCACGGTTTCTGTAAGGGAAGATCTTGTCTCACTAACCTGTTAGTGTTCTTTGAGGGGGTGAACAAACATGTGGACAAGGGGGATCCAATAGATATTATTTACCTTGACTTCCAGAAAGCTTTTGATAAAGTTCCTCATCAAAGGCTCCTAAGTAAGCTCAAAAATCATGGGATAAAAGGACAAGTCCTTTTATGGATCAAAAACTGGCTAATTAATAGAAAACAGAGAGTGAGTATAAATGGGCAATTTTCTCAGTGGAGGGTGGTAAGCAGTGGGGTACCGCATGGTGCGACCTCATTTGGAGTACTGTGTGCAGTTCTGGTCACCACACCTTAAAAAGGATATTATAGCTTTGGAAAAAGTGCAGAAAAGGGCAATTCTAATGATAAAAGGGTTGGAACATTTCCCTATGAGGAAAGGTTAAAGCGCTTAGGGCTCTTTAGCTTGGAGAAACGACGACTGAGGGGTGACATGATTGAGGTTTATAAGATTATGCATGGGATAGAGCAGGTAGAGAAAGAGGTACTTTTCTCCCTTTCTCACAATACAAGAACTCGTGGGCACTCCATGAAACTGCTGAGCGGTCGGGTTAGAACGGATAAAAGGAAGTACTTCTTCACCCAAAGAGTGATTGTGGAGGAAGTGGTAGCGGCTACAAGCATGGACGGCTTCAAAAGGGAATTAGATAAGCATATGGAGCAGAGGTCCATCAGTGGCTATTAGCCACAAGGTATAGATAGGGACTCTGGGGCAAGTGATGACAAGGTATTGATAGGGACTCTGGGGCAAGTGATGCTCTGTCTTCTTGGTGCTTGGGGGGGGGGTCAACAGTGGGAGGGCTTCTAATGTCTTGGCCCCACTGGTGGACCTCCTGATGGCACCTGGTATTTCTGGCCACTGTGTGACACAGAGTGTTGGACTAGATGGGCCTTTGGCCTGATCCAACATTGGCGTCTCTTATGTTCTTATGTAAAGCTGCAGCTGAATTTGATATGAAGACCCCTCAAAGTGCGGAACTACTTCTTTTATGTGACTTCTCTGTTTTCATGCAACTTTGTTCTCAGGCATCAAGAGGCTTCTTTCCACAGATGGGCTTATACCTCGGATATGCATAGTAGGCAGTGGTCCTGCTGGATTTTACACGGCCCAGCATCTCCTGAAGGTAACATATAAAAGCATGGACCTGTATAGATGCTGGAGGTATTTGTGGGCTGTGTAATTAGTTAAGAAAGATAGAACTCATTTAATACGTGCCTCAAAAGATTCTGCATGGGGCTTTAATGGAAAACGACCTCCTGGATTTCTGCTGAAATATACACAATTATTGTTGGAATGACAGTGTGCATTTGTATGGTAGTGGCACCACCTGATTTTTTGCTTCTGGCAGCAGCATATTGCTCTCATGGGATGATGTTCCATAGGACCTTGGGGGGGGGGGATACCAGGTGATGTGAGGGGCTGGTGCCGGATGGGAGAGAGAGTGATTAAAAAGTTCTGAACATGCCATACCATGTATATGCAGTTAGGTGTACACATGTACATGAGCACAAAGCAAAGTAAGAGCAATCATTTTGTCCACATTTTGCTCAAGGTTAGGAGTCTGGAAACCAGTTCACCAGAGACCTGAGTGTTCTAGCCGAGGGAAGACTGATGTTGTTGCTGGTGTATTCTGGTTATGCCTTTGCTTTTAGCTTCCTTCTATACAATGATATTTCTCAAGTGAGACACGATGACACAGTTATCACCTATCTGGAGCCATAGCTTTGGACATATGTTATTCCCAGCATTGTGCCTGCTAACTGCACATACACTGCATGTATACATAGTGGCTGTTCTACTATGAATTGATATCTTCCAAGGCTGAACACTGGCATTCAAAATAAATTCCAGGACTGAGCACTAGGAATGTGCATTCTGGAATCCCTGAGCCAAAAATGGACAGAAAAAAATATCTGGGACTGTTACTCTAGTTTTCCAGAATGGTTACACTAATCTGGGATTCTTAGGCATTACATAAAACACCACCCTGAAAAATCTGTGTAGTTTTTCATGTTCAGGTGCTTCCCATCAGCAGCAGGTACTTTGGTTTTCTTTGGCTCTTTGACTTTACCAACCACTGTGCTGGGGAAGGCAGCTCCTGGCTGGTGCAAGCCACACATGGGACCTGGCAGAATTGCAGCTTGCTGCTTCCCTTCCCTGCCTCCTTTTGTGGGGGTGGAGCTTTCTTTGCCAGTATGATGACTGGGGGGGCACCTTAATCGGGGCCCTGTAGAATTGGACCCTTTGGTCCAATTCACTTGAAACGTGGTGGTTCTTTAGTGGACAGGCAGCAGTGGCTGTGCCACAATTTTGGTGTCATATGATTGAAAAACAGCCACTCCAGCCTCCCTTTCCAGAGTCCCCCATAGGGAATAATGACAGAGCTGCAGTTCTCCATCTTTCCTTCCTTTTTCACTTTATGAAGGGAAACAGACCACAACAAAGACAGATGGCAAATATAGAGTTTTCAGCAGAAAGGCAATTTATGTTTTAATTGTCAGTCAATCATTGTAAGAATATGGAAAAGAATGAAGCACTAGGTCTGGGTGGGCTGACAGCAGTGTATTACAAACACTTTGAAGCAGGGCTTCTTCTTTTTTTAAAAAGAGGCGCTGGAACTCTCAAGAGGGAAATGAAGTTTTCAGTCTGTATACTGAAAACTCACGAACCTTTAAACGTTTTTAAAAGGATTTTGTTGAAGAGGTTCCAGTGCATTCCCAAATTTGCCTTTTTTGGAGTTCGGACAGACCATCTTGAAGGTCACGTGTCCGGAAGCTTGAGTGCCTGATCTTCCCGCGCCCAGTTCAGAAGTGTTTGGGTACTTTCGCCAGAGAAACCCCACCCCTGCAGTTTTGCGCGGAAAAGTGGGTGTGGGTGGGAATTTTCGGCCATCGAGGGACCAGTATTGGGCATCCGAGGCTGACAGGCATCTCCAGTTTCCAATCAGAGACGTCCATCCTTCTCCCTCAGAATGGGAGGGGTGTGTATATATTCCCAGGCGACATGTAACCGTCCTTTGTTTTGCATCGTGGTCTCTTGGAGTGTAGTGCTCCTTTTGCACATGGAAAAATCTCATGGTGGGCCTGGGGTGGGGGGAAAATTTACTGGGGTCGCTGGGTGGGTGGAGAAACCTGCTGGATCTCCTGGCCCAAGCTCCACTAGCCAACAAGTTTGACCTTCCAAGAGCCACCTCAGGAGGACAGCTTCAAAGTGACCTCTTGGCCATGGACAGGCAGGACTGCCTGACCAAGCTCTAACCTCATTTGTCCAGACCACAAGTAGTGGTGTCTGGTGTCCAGATACAAGTGGTCTGAATGTCTGCTGCAGTATGCAGACGGGTTATTTCCCGCAGGACTGGGTGAAATTGACAACAACATCAGCATTGACATGGCACTGTCCATGTGGTGATACCATGAACCAGGTCCTGGAGACTCCTGGGGAAACCATGTTGTCCAAACATGGTTTAGGATCATCTTCTGTCCCCCTCCCCCTTTAAGCCAGTAGGAGGAGCAACCCTCAACGATTTCACACTCCCCCGTCTTAGCATGTGTTCTTCCACTCAATGAGTAGCTTTGATGCGTCGGTTTTCCCACATGGGCAGTCTGGTGTTATTCCACATGTGCAGTCAGACTCTGAGGTCTTCCCAGCTTTGTTTGCCACACGGTTCACTGCAGTCTCTCAACCAATCTCTCTGCCTGTAGGCAACGTGGAACATGATTGCAGAGGACAGCCATCACCTTCCGTGCTATACTATTTGTCCCATTGTGTTTCCACCTTGCGGGGTGGCATCAGAAAGAAGTCATTCCAGGGGGAATATGTTTGGTGGAGGTGACATTTTCAGCCCATCAAGTGCCAGCTGCCATGTCGTTTCTCTCCCCTCCTGCTGGGAACGTGGCTGCCGGCCAGATATAGACACGAGTCCTCACAGAGGGTTCTATTTGGGGATGGTGGCATTTTCACTGGGACTGTGGCTACTGTCCACATTGAAGGCCTCCCCAAGGTTCTGAGTGGGTGCAGATGATGGATTGGCCCTCTTCTCTGGAGGCAGAAAAGTTCCTTCACACTGCCCCACATCCATGGGATAAGTGGCCAGCACCAATCTTTCCAGTCATGGAATACTGTGCTGTGTTTGGAGGAATCTCCGGGACGGGGGCCTCAGGGTGTTGGTGTCACCCAAGTGGGGATGTGCCAGTCCCGGAAACTCCTGGCCATGTCTCCATATTCAGTCTGTGGGCAATGTGATTTCTGTGGACGGCCCATTGTTTCCTCAATGGCCCAAGAAGGGGGTGTGCTTCCACGATGGCTGCCATCTTCCATGGAAATCATGGGCCGCTCTTCTACCCCTTCCAGTGAATTGACTACCAGGTTGCACCAAGATCTCCTCCCCATGGTGTGATGTTGTTCATGGTCAAAGGCTAAGTCTGACAGCAGGCCCCGCTCGCCCTGTTCATCCCGATCCATACATCCTGTCTATAGGCAGTGTGGTCACTGGTCACTGGGGATGTGCCAGTCTTCTCTCCATGTTCCATCAAGCAGTTCACTTCGCACTTCGTTGGTCTAGCTGTGGCTTGATGGTGTGTGCTTCCACTGGTGGCTTCTACACCCAGTGACACCCCCTGACAAACTCATCTGACAGGAGGTCGGTGCCCAGTCCTCCGGCCCCATGCCGCCATGGCGTTCCTATGCCAGTGATGTGATCACCTGGCAGTGAAGGTTTCTCCAGTATTGGGAGGCCACCGGACACCATGTTCTGGTTGGGCTACAAGAGACAGCATGTCATGTTGTTTGCCATGATCCCTCATTTCCTACCTACCAACACTACTCTCATCACACATCATCCCCTTTTGCAAAATCTATTCATCCCATCCAGCATTGGGAGATGTGCAGTCCGTGGTTGGGGACCACTGGCAAACCCCCCACATGTGCTGGCTTCACCTCTGGCAAAAGTGATAGGCGGTCACGCAGGATCCCTTCTGATAGGGGGTTGTCCTACATCCAGATGCTTGTCCAGAGTCCACTCATGGTAGCAGCACACCTTATCCCCACCCAGTCTTCCAGCACAGAGAGGCGGTCCAACCACCTTAATGGGTCCCTCCCAGGAGGGCCCATGCCGAGACATCTCCTCCCCCCTTGGGGGGGTGCTACTCAGGATGGGCCCCAGGTCACTTTCGAATATGTGGTTTGAATCCTGAGGGAAATATAGTGGGACCTTTATCCCCGACATCCTGAAAAGAGGCTGGTTAGAAATGCTTCTGGGATGGGAGCCCATGTGGGTCTCTCTCCCGGTCCATGTGTGAGAATGGATGGAGACGGAGGCAGAAGGTCCACTCCTCCTGCATGCTGATAACATGATAACTGCTTATTGCCAGGGTACCGCAGCTCTGATTGGCCACTACAGATTTGCTCTGTGACTGCAGTTGCTGGCCACACAAAGTGGTGTAGGTGGGGTGGACGTTTCCTCTGCCGATGGTGCCTTCTTTCTTGACGCAAGTCCCCCCTCTTATTCTCCTGACATTCGACAAGTTTCCGACACACCATGGCATCTGGCGTATGACAGAGCTTTCTTTTTAGTGGGTTTCTGTCTGTTGGCAAGGTGATCACTGGGCAAGGGCAGCTCTGGCCATGTTCCCATGTGACACATTGTCAGCCGCCCACCATGTCCTTCCAGTCAGCCTTTCCCAGCGTCTTCCTTTGCCATGTCTCCAAGCTCCTTCCCCAGGGCCACGTCCCTTCACTCTGCTGCCTACAAGCTTGAGATCCATCCACATCTAAATCCTCTCAGGGCCCACGGCTACCATGGACCAGGTCCCCCACCGTGTATGCCTCCATATCATTCTGCTGGCCAAGCAGTTCCCTGGTGGGTCCCTCAAGTGCTGATTCCTCTATGCCGGTCCTGTTTCATCCGCAACCATCGTCTGGCGACATATCCCCTGACTAGCTGGGAACTCCTGCTTTCCAATTTATTCCGTCATGGTTTTGGTCCCCTTTCCCAAAATGCTCCATGTGTGATGGCAACCGGATATCTGGGGGATGCCATTTCCAGGCGTTTTCTAGTGGCAGAACCATCTCCCAATTCCTAGAATCTCCTATGACTCCAGCCCCCAACATAATCCACCTGCTTCC